TGTATATATGTATATATACTATATATAATATGTATATATATATATATATATATATATATATATAGCTTATATCATAGAATATAATTTGATGCAGAATCATTTATAATATTGTAGAGACACAGTAGAATGAATAATTTGAAATCCTTGGTATTATGAAAGACGCAATAGAAGATTATACTTAAAAAAAACTTTTATTTTTTTTAATTATTACCAATATTACTTTCCATATACTAATACTACGATTTCTTTTATTATCTGACATTTTCTCAAATACTTATCGATAATACTATGGTGAAAAAAATTAAAAAATACTTCAGACAGATCTATTGTTTTTTGTATTAATTCTATACTTGAAATTTTAATAAATGTTATAAATTAAATGTTAGGGAAATAATTTTTATTTTATCGATATTTATCTTATACACATAATTCACTCAAATTATGAAGTTCGTAGCAAAAAAATCGTAGATTTTTAAAGATATATAAACACCTTAAATATAATGTATATCTTCACTAGACTGAACACATCAAAGGGTAATCAACGAGAAAGATGATGGCATAGTTCGATGAGACGAATGTAATTATAACAAAAATATTGCCCCAATAATTAATCCAATATTTTTAAATTTTTGATTTTACAGAATTCATTTTCTGTTTAGAATTATTTTTATTTATTAAATTATAAAATTATTTATATATATATATTATTATAATTTATATAAATTATATAAAATATATAATTATTAATTATAAAATTAAAATTAGCTAGCTTTTTTTTTTTTTATTTTTTTTTTACTATTTATAATTATTCAATCATTATATGATTTATAATCAATAATTAAAAGTTCTTAATTTTTAATTTTAATCAGTTTATTAAATTCCTAAATTCTTATTAATAAAAAAAAAATTTTTTTCTTATTTTATTATTATTCTTATTCTATTTTGAAAATATTTTTTTCTTGAAATTATTTGAATGCTATGAATTAAATTATTTAAATGCTATGATTGTTAATATTACTCATATATTATAAAAATTATGCTGTTACATAAAGTACATAAATATAATGTTTTATATAATAAAATAAAACTTTTATTTTCTGAAGCAAATTTTTATCATTATTACATTCATCCTTTTAAACTTATCCAATATTTTCTCAATTAGTTATATTTTCATATATCTTTATATTATATTTTTAACAGCAGCAAAGCAGCAAAATGAACTATGTATTTATTCACTTAACATAAGATAATAATTATTCAATTATTAAACAAAATCAATTAATAATAATTGTTAATTATTTTTTATATTTCTATACTTATTCCTAACCCTTTGGAGTAAAAATAGTAATTATATTAAGATAAAATAATAATTATTTAATTATTAAAGAAAATCAATTAATAATAATTGTTAATTATTTTTTATATTTCTATATCTATTCCTAACCCTTTGGAGTACAAATGGTAATTATATTATATTATATTATATAATATATATAATAGTATTATATTATA